CGTTGTTGCTCCACCGAACTGAGCCTCGAAGTAGCATGGCACGCACCCGCCGTAGTCAATCCGGCCACAACGCCTATCCCTGAGGAGCCTAGCCTTACTCAGCCTCAGTTGCAGGAATTTCTATCTTCATCTGCCGCAACAGCCTACGGTGGATGAGACCCTACCCGAGCCTCCTTGAGCCCCAGACAGCGAACCATGGTTAGTGCCCAAGCCGGACACTTGCCTATTCAATATCTTTGGCGAGTCCTTTGAGCTCCAAGTCCTGAGGGAAAAGATAGCCAAAGGACAAATGCCTGACTGCCTATTCAGAGACCCTCCTGTAGGAGATCAGCAGCCTCTCAACAGACAAGAGATGTGGGCAGCCACGCAGTACAAGCCTATTTACAGAACACAAGGACGGTGGACCTACTGGGATCTGCTGACCGATGGTGTTCGCGTGCCTCCGCCTCTATTTTGCAATGAGCTCGAAGATGCGCCCAAGCAGCCTCCCACGGCCCGGGTCCAGCCTAAGGAGAAGGCCAGACCCAAGCATGTTCCCCCCTCAGCCCGACCCAGCCCTCCGCCGAAGACCCCACAGAAAAGCTCTTGGGCCGATGCCACAGACCAGGAGGAGGCCTCATCCTCAACAGCCAAGCCTAAAACCGTCCAGGAGCCCAAGGCGAGCTCTGCTACGACGACCCCGCCTCAGACTGCCCCAACGGGCACTCAAGAGCCGAAACCGGAGCCTCCACCACAGCAGCACCTGCGATCTGCGGAGTCGCAATCCTTCCTGCCTAAGGACACCGATCCCCCCCTCAAAGCGGCCCCCTCCAAGCCTCCTCAAACACCACAGCCACCCTCGGGACCATCAGGGTCCTCAGGCCAACCTGGATCCTCCAGCGATGGGAAACCCGACCTATCTGCAGCCGACCCGGCCACAGTATACAAGCCTCTGCCTGGACAGGATATCCACCTGGATTCCTTCCGCAGCCTAGATCAGCCCGGTGCCTTTGTCAAGCCCTATCTCTTCGACTTCAGCCTCCTGGATGAGAGAGCGCAGCCTCTCTTCGGCCAGCCTCCGGTTTTGTCTATCAGCGGAATCAGGGGTTCCCTAAACCCTAATCCCTAAACCCCTAAACCCCGAACCCTGAACCCCTAGACCCTAAACACTGTGAATGCTAGCCTCGGCGCTTGAGGGTTCAGGCAATGCCAGAGCAGCCAGTACTTATGGCCTTTTCGTCAGATGGGTAGTTCTCTAAATTATCAAGATCCCAAATATCGTACGGCACCCCTAGAACAAGGCCCCCTGATTTAGAGAACTATCCAGATGTTTGGGGCCTCCCTTGCTATTGGCGTTTGGGGCAGGATGGGCAGAGCCCAGGGTTGTTCAAGGCTCAGGGGCACTTGAACACAGCAGAGAAGATCTTCAGTACTGATTATCAATAAAAGGAAAGCAGGTTTTAGTTCCAATGTTGCATGGAGCCGGTTGCCCATAACCTTAGTTCGCACTCTTCCATGCACAAGAACCCTTCAAGCCTGGAGTTGATACAGGTGAAGCCTCTGTGAGCCCCCTGTGCAATGTCACAAGAACCCTTATACTGCCTGTACATGGTGTCGGTAGTTTAGAACAGATATTTTGGGAACCATCTTGGATCTTGGTCAATCTTGGTCGAAGCAAGGTTGCCAGCAATCTTGGCAGTCTTGGTCCCCACTTGCGTTTGTTTGTCCACTAGTTTACCTTCAGACCAAGATTGCAAGATGCTAGCAATCTCGCTCTCCCCCCGCCACACCCCCGCGCCCAAGTGGGGGGGCAAGTTTGGGAAGTGGGCAAGTGAGGCAAGTGGGGCAAGATTGCGAGATTGCTGTCGGAACTTGCCCAAATAGTTGTTCTAGATTCCCGGCACACTGTGCCTGTATGACTGCACGGCCACCCATGCACCTTCAAGAACTCCTATACACCCTAAGCATCACACCCTGAACCTTAAACCCTAAACTCTAAACTCCAAACCCCTGAACTCTAAAACCCTAAACCCCGTAACTCTTACCTCTGAAGTTCTCCTTTCAGCCAGGAGGTCTTCCGCTGGAGTCTCGGGGCGATTCTGAAGGAATTGGCCTTGTCGACACCTGAGGCCCACTGGCAACAGGGATCTTCTAGGGTTTTGTATGTTAGGGTTTATTGGTTTAGGGGTTTAGGGTTTACAGGGTGTATCAGAATTTCATGACTTTCTGACGGGAAAGATGTACAGGTTCCTGCTTCGCAGGGGGGTTTCTTAGATTTTTGAGGGTTGACCAGGTACAAGATAAGAGGGAAAGTTAGAAAGTGCTGTGAAGTGACGGTGCAGGCCTTGGACTTTAGGTTCTTTGTTCACTGGCGCGAGGGCGTAAGGCCATGTTCTCCCGCGTTGACGATTCGAAGTCCAGTCTGAAAGCTCGGTGCGGAAAGCCTCCGCTTACTTGTGGCCACCCTGTGGCCCCGAAGACACACGTGTAGTGGACCCCTGGTTTACCTGGCCGTTGTAGGCACGGCGTGTCGGAAGTTTCGGCCTGAGTCAAAATTTTCAACAGCCGCTAGATCCCTTGACCCGCAACCTCCGAGAAGCCTGTAGCGACAACAACTGGAGTTGATGCTTTTCTCGGGGTGTACATGGAACGAGTCTGTCAGGCCCTCAACTCTGGGGCCCTCAACCGTACCTGAACTCAAAACAATGATGATACTTGTATATAATAGTACTAATACTACTATACTAGCCCCCCCCCCCCCAGGCCCGGAAACTGCGACAGCAGCTGGAGTTGCAAACTCGACGGGGAAGAAACTGCTAAACCACAGGGTCGGATAGTACGAAAACGCTGTATAAACCGTGCATTTCAAAACGCAGGTGCCGCCAAGTTGCCAAGAAGGTTTTATCACGCTTAAAACCTGAAGCGCAACATCTTATAAACATCAAAGGCAAATAAAGATGCCAGCTGTACGTGGGAGGGGCTCGCCAACACCCTTAAAGCCCAGACCTGGGCGTAGGAGGGTTTGCTTTTGAAGTGGTGCATGGTGTGTGCGCGCTAGTGTAGAGATATTGTTCGGGGTGTCCGCGAAACAGTGTCGTGATCATCCCCGAAAGAGCTTCCCTCCACCCAATTTCGAGTTTTCGCCGAAAACCGTTGCAAATCCCAAGGTCGAGTTCGCAAAATCCAGAAGTAGGTTTGGTGAGTATATAAGATGGTCCGACATCACGAAAGTATTATATTACCAAATAAAACGGCTCTTCTGGAGATTTTGTTGGGGTGTCTACGTAACAGTGTCGTCATCATCCCCCCCCGTTCCCCCCACCTCCCCCCCAAAAGCAAATCCCAAATCCGAAGTTTGAGTTTGCAAACTCGACAAGTCGAATTTGAGGCTTCATAAAATAATCCTGGATCACGAAAGTGCTGTAAATACAGAGTAGAATGGATGTTGTCTTAAAGATGGTTAAGACTTAAGACCAAGTGTAGTTGGTAGGGGGGGTGCCTACTATTGCTGCTACTGCTACTTCTACTTCTACTACTACTACTGCTACTACTACTACTACTACCACCACCACTACTACTAATGATTAAAGTACCAGTGATAGTGGTCCCAAAAGCAGCAAAGGCGCCCCGTCACCTCATCGACTACGCGCTGTCCTTGAATCCAGGATCCATGGCAGTACCGTTTTCTTTCGATATATAGACTTCGGGTTTAGGTCCTCCCAAATTAGGGCCCTTAATGCAATATGCGCATTCCTGCTGCCAGGAATGTGTCAGCCAGTTTCAGCTTACAGAACGAGATCAGGCGTTTTCCACATGTGTGTACACAGGTGTCAACTGCTTGTGCTTCTCAGGCTAGGTGTTTTTTTACATGGAGCTCAGGATTGGTTTGCGGGTTGAAGTTTAGAGTTTAGAGGGTTGAGCAATCTACTCCAGACTCCCAATGCCTTCACATGAATGTGACAACCAGCTTGATCTTTGCAGGCTTAAGGTTGTAAAGTCGTTTGGTTAAAAAGCATGGGCGAAAAACTTCTTGGCGATGTAGACTGGTTCAAGAGTTAGAATTATCAGCGCAGCCGTCATCGTTCGTAGTCTTGCTCTGATCCATGACGTGTAGCATTGTCCGTACTAGTTACTAGTGTTGTGAACATGTTCGTCATACTGTTTCAACGCCATGTTATCGTTGAGTTTTTGCGTTTCCCTGTCTAAACTTTTCCCTTTAACTTCGGACGCGTGCGATGGGAGCCTAGGAACTACGCGGCGGTAAACCTGTACCTCGCGCTGAAGCATGCCGCCTTGTGGCATGAAGCCGAGGCAGCCACCGAAGCACCAAAGAGATCCTTTGCTGTAGCCTTCCAAGAACCCAGTACTTTGGTGCCTGAGAGACCAGAAGTCCTAATTGCCATACAGCCACCTGAAACCATGAGTTTATATGTCATAAGGCATAAGTGCACGATATGCGTAAACCCCAAAGCACAGGAAGGGGGGAGCACTCAATTTTCGGCACTTCTATACGCACATGCTTGCAAGTCCGGAAGCACTCAGTCGGTCGATCTTGCAAACCCTAAGCCCTAAACCCTAAAACCCTAAAACCCTAAACCCCTAAACCCTAAACCCCTAAACCCCTAAACCCTAAACCCCCACTTGAAAGCATCAGGAAGACCAGCACAGCAGTCGTCACCCCGCAGGAGCAAGCAGAACGGGGCTGGCCAAGGTGGCTGCGCGCCTCGGAGTGCATCAATTAGCAGCTCAGGGTTTTGACCTTTGAGGGGTTCGAGATATATCCATGTCCCATATGTTTGTTTATATATATATATATTATATATATATAATATGTATAGTACTTGCACATAGCACTTGGCCATGCGTATGAATACCGAAGGTTAAGCGTAGAGAGGGCGCAGATGGGCTAGCGGCAAGATCGAGCTTCCAGTTCCAGTTTTTGCCAGAACGCTGCTTGCCCGATGTGATAGGCTCAAGCCAGCGGAGAACTCCAAAAATACGTCGAGCAAACAAAGATCGCCATGGCTTTGCTCCAGCATGCCGTCCGCGCTGCTCGCGCCCCCCAGAGCATCCTCCGACAGGTGGTGGAGGGAGCATGCATCGCTGTAGTCGTCGTGATGAAGTAGAAGTAGCAAAGGCAGTTGAAGCAGAAGTCGTGGTGGTGGTACATGGTGGCAGTCATAGTGGTGTCGCGCTGCCGCGCTGGTAGTATTCGGTAGTCGTCGTCGTCGTCGTCGTCGTAGTAATCAAGTGGTGGTAGCAGCAGCAGCAGTAGCAGCTGCAGCAGCAGTAGCAGTAGTAGCAGTACTGGTAGTCGTGGTGGTGGTGGTAGTAGTCGTCGTAGGGCTCGTACTTGTACTGAATGGTGGTAGCAGTGGCAGTGTTATGGTCCGTGATTCTTGTCGTGGTGGTGGTCGTGCAAGGCACTTCCTACGGGCAGCCGATGGCTGGCGGTGCTCCGCCCGGAGGCGGCAAAGCCTTTGCCCGGCCAAATCGCTCAGAACCCGGTGTCCCAGGCCGCAGGACGGACACTAGTATGGGAGGCTTTCCTTCTTGAGTTGTGTAAAGTAGGTCGTTGGGGGTATATTGGTGTATACAGTTGTTAAGGGGGATGTACTACTGATTATTGAGACCTCCATGTCGCGACGGGTTGGGCTGCAGGCTTCTGAGGCTTACCTATACGCTCCCCACTTTGGTTTAGTGCCATTTTTTCCTGCCGATGTTCTTCATTCTCGGTCCCAGCCATAAGCATCGTTTACGAAGGAGGAGCTACAGCCGAGCATATAGACAAGGTTCAGCCGGACCGGTAGCTTGAAAGGAAGGCATCGGCTCAGGAAAGTTGCAAAGTGGGAAACCCTAAAATGCATTGTAATGTAGACCCGCCTTATTAATTAGAATCGTAGTTGGAGCAGGGACATATTCTAGTACAGTAACATGGGGGGCGGGGGGTTTATGGGAAATGTTATTACCAATGGCGTTGGCTAGCAAGTTACACAGGTGCCAGAAGGGAATGCTATTCCCAGTTTTTTTCCGATTCCCGTAGTCGCTGGAAGATGTCGGCTCTAGGTGGCTTTTGGCCATTAGGTGTTTAGGCTTGCAGGTTCAGTAAGAGTGGGTTTCAATAGGGTTTAGGGTTTAGGGATGGTTGAACATATAAGGCCTGAGTAATTCGAAATCGTATCCCTTCGGATTCCTTCATTTATAAAGTATAACCCGAAAGCCCCGCTCTCATTATTGGGGCCCTGCGTTAGGGTGCTGTGGTTACGGTTAGTAACGCTTCAACCCGGGGTAGGCTAATGAAGTCCTGAGCATTGCCGGCTGCAAGCACCTAAACCCTAAACCCATAAACTCTGAACGAATCCTGAGTTCCACAAGTTTCCTCCTTTCGGGCCTTGATCCTAGCAGGACTCGGCGAGCCAATGACCAAGCGCCACGCCGGAGTTTCCGTGCTGGGATGTGCGATTGCCATGGTGCCGGGGATGAAACGAGCGCTTGTGTTGTCGTGGGCATCGACTGGCGTCGTTTACAACAAACAAGAAAGACAATCAGAAGTGTTGTTGCTACCCATAGGCTCCTTAGAAGTTCCTTTTGGGGACTACCTTATAGGACTCTAAATATGAACCATAAAAAGGAACTACTTAGGGGCCTATGGGTACAGCTGTTGTTTTCAGTCAGCTTGTTGCGTGTCCTCTATGTGTCTGTATGTGTGTGTGTGTGTGTGCGAGCTTGTGGTGCTGTTGCTATTCTGGGGCTGACAGTTGTTTGCTGGCGCTGTTGTCAGAGCTTGAATATTGAAGAGTTTCCGTCAGTCCGGATCCGCATGCGTTCTATTTTGGATTTTGATTTGGGATCCCCTAAACCCTAAACCTTAAGCCCTAAACCCTAAACCCTGAAACCGAAGCCAGCACGCAGGTGGCAGTGGGTGGCTGCGCACAGGGTATTGGACAACTCTTCGCTGCGCCTCTTGCCCGACATTGCAGTGGCGGGGCGTGTTTTGAAGGGGTTTAGGGTTTAGGGGGTTTAGGGTTTAGGGGGTTTATGGGTTTAGGGTTTTGGGTTTAGGGTTTTAGGTTTTGGGGGGGTTCTGGGTTTAGGGGAGGGTCCCGTCTTGAAATGAAGTCGGAGTTCTGCATAGCAGGAATCCTCGAACACTCGCCCTAAACCGTAAACTGTTCTACACACCCCTGGACGTCTGAATTCCAAACGTGAGGGAATTGAACCTCGAATACCTGAAGCTTAACCCAAGAATGAAAAGTTTACCTTCTTCAAACTTCTGGAGAGTTTATTAGAGAATCCATAGAGGCTCTATAGGAGGAGAGGTTCTTGTAGGGTAAGGTGGGGCTTAAGGCTTAGGCCTCTACCCAAACCTCAAAGACCCAGGCTGGTCGTGGGAATGGCTCGTAACCCATCCATGAAGGAGGACCTCTTCACCTACACGTTGATCGGGATGGGTGCCTCGATCCGGGTTGAGACTAAGACTACGGCCTGCAGAGCTTTGGGATGGGATGCTAAATGACGTCCGGCGTCTGTGTCTGTACTTGTTGTAAGTCCAGAGAATATTGTGCAGAATCGACTTCAGAGTCGATGGCTGTGGAAAGCTAAGCGCAGGTCGAGTCTGGGGCGAAGGGGGAAGATTGTGAGTTAGACAGCGGATCATGGTCACGACTCTGCTGTGCAAGGCTATGTGTTGTACCTTCAAGGGCGGAACGTGCAACCAAGTTGGTGTCAGCTGGCACAGTTGCAAGGGACACGTATGATTTTGGACAACTCTGTGCATGCCTCTTGCCCTTGGTGCTTGGGATTTTCCGGGCAACCTAAGTACTAAGGCTCATGTTCATGATATATGGGTTCAAACAAGACATGCACACCAACAATCCAAAAGCTGCAGCTCGAGGCCTATCAAGATTTTATGAGTGGGTGGTCCTTGTCTACTATCCAGAGACGTGTGTGCGACTGTATGACCATGAATCAAGACCAGTCTCGCCACAGCCGATGACAGCTGTTAATTTGATTGCTTGCTGCTCTCTGAACAGCCAAACACTTCGACGACATGGAGGTACGGGCGAGAGCCTGAAACCCAAAACCACTACCCGGAAGAGCCGAAAACAGGAAAGGAAGGCACCCGAGCCCGATAACGCCTCAAACCCCTCAAACCACTCTATTCCCTGAACGCCTACATTCCTACACCGCTCCAACCATCGCCCTCCCTAAAGGCCTAAACCCTAAACTTCAAAGCCCTGAACCACTAAAGCACTAAACCCCCATAAACCCTAAAGCCCTAAACCCTAAAACCTAAACCCTAAACCCTAAAAACCCTAAACCTTAAAACCCTAAACCCTAAGACCTTTAAAAAGCCCGGATCCCAGGTTTCCTGGAGTTCCTGGCCATTGTGGTGATTCTCATTGCCGGGCTTCTGCTCTACTCCGAGTGAAGAGCCCCTCGTCGCCTTTCCGATCCTTTTCTTAGATAAAACATGGGAGAACTTTACACCTTTTTGGCCTTAGATATTAGGTCTACCCTAAAAAGTTGGAACTTTTTTTGGGCCTGGTTGTTGAAGAAGAGAGTTTTGGGAGCTTCGGGTTTTACACAGCAGCCTTTAGCTATTATTAGGGGATATTTAGGAGGGTTCCTTTCAGGGGTCTATACGGCCTTTTCTTTGTTGAATATAGGGGCCTTCATCATTCCGTTAGGGTTTTGGGGGGGGAGTGTATGATACTATACATACATGAAGGGGCCGATAAGTAATAGAGAATAATTACCATATTAATTCTTCGGACTCCTACAGTAGGATCTTCAGGGTTAAGGGCTTAGCCTTGAGGCTTAACAGGTTCAGAGTTGAGGCTTTAGAACACTGAGCTAGGGATTCGCCTTTCAATGCGCACGCATTTTTGATGAGCAGTGCTAACCGCTGGTTTTGCGGCGGCTTGTGGGTTACTGGAGATTATTAGAAGAGGCCCAAGCCCGAATATCCCTAAACTCTAAACCCCAAACCCTATAAACCCTATAATTAAACCCTAAACCCCATGAAGCCTAATCTCCGACGTGTCACTCACCAAGCCTTTGTCACATGTGCTCTTATCTCTGGATCCTAATGCCCGAATCCGCTGGACTCTCATAAACCTCACCTGGGTCCTTCTTGGCTAGAAGTCTACACTTTTGTTATAAATAAACCCCCAATAAGAATTAAACATGATCATTTTAAATACAGCCCAAGAGGACACCTAAACCCTAAACCCTAAATCGGTTGCAGAAAAAAGCCCGAAGCCCCTAAGAGGGACCAGGCTGCCGTCAACTTCAATCTGCCTTAATCCAAGCTTGTGGGATTCGGAACCTCCCGGTTGCCTTTGGGGCTTTAAGGTTTAGGGGTTTAGGGTTTCGGGTTCAGTAGGGGCTAGGAGCTTTGGGTTTACGGGTTTGGGGATGAAGGTTTATGTTTAGGGTGTAGGATTCAGGGTTTAGGGTTCAGGGATGCATTTCACAGATTCAACTCCACGCCCTTGAAGACGGTGGGCTTCGTTGCTAGAGACTGCTGGGGCCTTGTGTTTAGTAAAAAGATTTAACATTATAAGCTTCTGAGCCCCGAACCCTCGATTAAGCCCCTAAACCCCTAAACCCCTAAACTAGATCCCGATCCCCAAACCTAAACCCTAAGTGCTAAACCCCAAAGCATAAAAGATGGATCCTGATCTCAACGCTCCAGCTTCGAGGTTGGGAGAAGGTCGATACGACAACCTCCCGGCGACACAATCAGCTTAGGATTTTGATGACGATGCAACCGCGACTATAATGGTTCATGAGAGAAAAAGTCCGTGCAAGCGTCGGTATTTGATCGGCTTTCGTGGGTCCATGCTTTGACAGCTCTGCCGATGCACAGCAGGGGTTCTTGTATCGTCATTCTGTCACGTTACCACATGCGCCATGGCGGCATAGCTTGACAGACGCTGTGTGTAGGACTACTGTTGATGATAACATCCTGCATTACCTCAACCACGGGAATTATGGTATATTCCTGATAATGGGTCATGCAGGATTTATATCATCAACCGTAGTTCGTGGCCCTGCGCAGCATGAGCCCAACATCTCAGAACCCCCCCTCGCAGCCCAGGGCAAGAATGGATGATGGACCTCCGCAGGCACGTTTTCCCCTAGGGCTCCAGTTACCTAAATAGTGGGTTACTAACCGTATATTATGTACCCCAGTAACCTACTATTTAGGTAACTGGAGCCCTAGGGTTCCGCACCTCTTCATGATGTCGTCGCTCGCTGTGAGTAGCTGCTTCCAGTCACCCTGTAGATCTGAGGCCATGATAAGCCAATAAGCCCAAGTCTGTAGCCGAAAGGCAGCAAAGAAGCCCTGAGCCTAAAGCCTAAACCCTAATCCCATCCATGGCTTCTGTGGGAGGATCTCCTGGGACATTATGGACTTGTTCGGCCTAAAGAGCCGCAAAGCACAAGAACTTGGCGCGTGGGCCTCAGCAAGCTCGCCAAGAACTAAAACCCATGAGGCCCAAAGACATCCACCTAAGGTAGGGGCCTGAATAGTAGTAGGGTGTTGGGTGGTAACTTGTACTATAAGTATGTCAGTGGTTATAACGGGATACTTTTTCTTATTCCGGACTCTTTTGGTAAAAAGATCTTCTACTTGCGGTTATCCGGAGTCCCTCTTCTACAGCTCCTTACACGCTAAATGCAGGATCCTTGTGTGCATGCAGTCTTCTGGGGCCTTTTGGGTTTAGGGTTTCGGGTTTAGGGTTACGGTTGAAAGCCCCTAAACCCTAAACCCTAAACCCCAAACCCTAAACCCTAAACCCTAACTCGAAGCCTCCGTGGTGGAAGGAATTCACTGACCACGAGAAGGAGATGATGAGTGCTTGGAGCTCAGCTTTCGCGCTGCCCCCTTTATGGGTCTGGGTTTAGGGGTTCAGGGTTTAGGGTTTAGGGTTTGGGGTTTAGGTTTAGGGGTTCAGGGATCAGGATTTTTGGTGTTTGGGGGTTCAGGATTTTACGGTTAAGTGTAGCGTTAGAGGTTTTGCACATGCATTGCGGCGATGTAGCATGTAAACGATAAGCGCTTTTAATGTTGTACTTCTGCTCATCGTCATACCCAGCCGCACCACGTTTGTTCTTCTAGTCTAAGGCACTACAACATAATTCTGGCAATGTGTTGCGCCCTAAACCACGGAGCCCGAATATGCGATGTTGATTCTAGCTACTCTGACTGCAGGTCCACTTGGAGCCACACCTGCAGCAGATGCAGAACATCCATGAGGCTCCTAAACCCTACACCCATGAACAAGGGAGCTACAGTTCGGGCCTTCCACTGAGGCTGTAATGTGGGAGTTTGAATACTTAGCCATAGCATTTCCTTTTAGCCCCGAATCTATTTTTTTTTCGGCGACCGAAAATACCCTAAACCTCCTCTAAACCCCTAAACCCGAAAGCAAGCCCTAAAACCCCAAAACCCTAAACTCTAAGCCCTAAAACCCTAAAACCCTAAACCCTAAACCTCCCAAACCCCACCAGCCTTTACGACTCGTTGAGGCCTCACGAAACAGATTCGCGGGCACAATTGAATATTCCTTTGTATGTATGTATGTATGTATGTATGTATGTATGTATGTACGGATGTATGGATGTACGGATGTCTGTATGTATGTATGTGTGTATGTATGTATGTATGTATGTATGTCTGTATGTATGTATGTATGTATGTATGGATTTATATATACATATATATATATAGATCGGTTTAGAGATTGCTTGCAGGATCAGGAAACGCAGTACGTAATTGACAGGTGGCCCGATTGCCAAACAGATCATGCTCGACAAGTAATACAGAATATCAATCCTACTGCTTAAGGTTCCCTGCAGTAGCTATACTGTACTATAAATATACGACTAGCAAACTATATTATATTTTATATTCTAATATACTATCCTGAAAAATAGAATGAGCCCCAAAATCAAACCCATTTCGGCTCTTTGGGCCCTATATTACTCCCCTGGCTGCACACCTTGCTTGCCAAGGGGACCATCGAAGGTCTGGGAGTTCGGGATGAAATGCTAGCCTCTACCCATAAGCCCCTAAGTAGTTCTGTTTTGGGATTACCTTATAGGGTTCTATAATATAAACCACAAAAAGGAACTACTTAGGGGCCTGTGGGTAAGAGGATGATATCGATATAGGGTTTAGGGTTCGAGGTTTAGGATTCAGGGCTTATCTCCAAATCCACCACGAGCAATCCCAACACACCCATCTTTAGAGTGATCTAGGAAAAACGCACTTGTAGCAGTCGAAGGACCTGTGTTTCCATGGAACCTTTCTCGAATCCGCAAGAATCCTGTCAAGACCCAGTGAAAGTCTATGCCTGAACAGCAATCCCGCTAAAGCCCCTCGACCAAGTCGATCCGCGACCAGGCTTGAGCGGCTATCGCTATTCGACGTCTTCGCCCAATACGCAGCAAATCCCAAGCTAAACACGCAAGCCCACCGGCAGCCCTAAACCCCAAAGTGGG